TATATATACAGTATATATAGTTACAATACTGTTTATAATATTCACAGTTTATGAAAAACATTAAAAAATAATTGTTAAATACGGTTTAAAAATAATGTTTTTTTACATTATTAATGTTAAAGGTTTGCTGTTTTTACTAGATTTTTTTTTGTCATAGTGTGATTTTTGGTGAATTGTATCATCTAATTAGTGTCAATTTTACCATAACGTTTGTACCCTGGTTTTTAACCTAATACAAATACTAGTTTACACTCTCATTGTTTGAATGAAAGAGCTTTCATATTTGGGTGAACCACTTATTTTAAGTTTTTATACTTATCACATCGCAATTCTCTACAACTACTTATCTGTTGAATTATTCCATTTATACATGTGTTAGAATTTAATAGTGTCGTAAAGTATGCCAACCATCACACCCTTGAAAATGGCGTTTTGATTTCCTATTCAGTAAAATTACAATGACATTTCATTATCTCATAATACCATTTACTAACATTTTAATCAACATTATTCACCGTTACTCTGTACTGCCATCAAAACCAGACTTAATAAAGGCTGTAATTCATTATGTTTCTCTAAATGACAGGATTCAATTGAAAAGGACTCGGATTCAGTTAGTTGGGACGGTTTTTATCTGGCAGCTACACAATGTGACTGGAATACAATGAACCATTGGCTCAGTCTAATACGCTGTGCTTTTGAATTTGCATTAATAAAATCCGCATGAATGGGTGGTGTGCGATGTCGTTAGTCTCTATTGGGGAATAAACTGGCAAGATTCCTCTCCGCCGCAGTAGCCGTGCGTACACCGCTGTGCGTCTTTGTTGTGCGGTGGCACGGTATGCTTTGATAAAGGAAGTGAGAGGGGAAATGACATTTAAGGGAAGGGTAAAGAATTATTGATCTGTGCGTGCGAAGCTGTCTGCGCTAACATAACTTTACAACAACGCTACAAAGGCGGCACACACTCTGCATATAGAGTCACACTAATCAGAGAGCTCTGTTGTTCACGCCGCTAAACAGAAACGGAACAGGAAGCTGTATGCAGGCTATCGTGTATGTGGCTCGCTAGATGACTGACTGTGTACAAATCCAGATCTGCTTTCTTGTGTATCATCACGAGGAGACACACCTTTACAACACGCTCTGGTAGACATGAAAGCACAAATGCACTTTCGTGCCGAATACACCTACAACACAAACAGTCGATTAGCAATATGTGATATGTTGACTCGTAGAATGCGCTGTACTGTGTGTCTTTGTTCTCAGGGTCGGCATAGATGCAGTGTGCATCTGTAGTCACACCTCACGCTGCTTGAACATTAATTCAACTACACATCCCAAAGGGCTATTCACAGAGCTTTCATTGGCACGGCTGATAAACAAAGGTCTGCTTTGCCCTTGTTGTTGTGCCCTTGCTAAAATGTGAGCATTTGTCTGTGCGCTGTGGGAGTTTGAACAGAGCGTGCTTTTAGGTAAGTGTCTGCAAGAGAAAGCGTGTGTGCATTTAATGCAGCTGTATAGAGTCAACGTGAATCTGCAGTAAAAGCTAGCCGGCCAGTCACATGTGATGAAAGACACGCACACATATATTCATTACACGGGCATGCACATGGCCCTAAAGGCTGCCATGCCAATCGATGAGTGATTCACAGGCCTATTATCAATCACACAAGCACCTCAGGCACGGGTGACACACTTTATTAGTGCATTCAGCCTTTCAGTGCACACTTTGAAGGGACACAGAGTTAACCCAAAGGGGTTAGCCAGATCGATGGCTTAAGACCCCAAACAGGTCGAAGCCACCCACTTTTAGTCCTCTGAACTGACCTGAGGCTATGTTCACACAGTGCCAGAATATGGTTGTGAGTCCTGAGTCTGATATATATGGTTAAATTCACACAAAAATGTGTTATAAACAGTGTTGGGGAAGCTACTCTGAAACTGTAGCTTGACCAGCTACAAGCTGGAACCCTTACCCTTCTGAAAAAAGTAGCTAGCTACACTACAAGTTACTATCAAAAAGTAGCTAACTACATTTAAACTACTTTCAATTTTTGTATTATTTTTATTTTTTATTTTTTTACAATTAACATTACAAATAACTAAATAATTATTAATGAAGAATTATAGTGAAGTTATAAGTAACATGTAATGACGTTATAAGGAAAATATTTGGGGTTTAAAACAACATACTGTAATGCAATCATGATTTCAAAGAGTAGGGTGAATTGAGGTTGATTGGGACACTTTTCCAAGCCATTTAAATGTCAGAAAGTGTCCCAATCATTTGATTTTGTAAACTATCCGATACACACAATAATAAAATACCGCATAGTTATATAGTTATATTATCTTAAACTGACTGTCAAAGTGCAAAATTGCTACTAATGTAACATCAATGCAAGAAACAAATGTATGCAACTTAAACTGGATACGGAGGATTCATAAAAGAAGCAGGTTAAACTCACAGCACATGCGGTATTTACTGACTGAATGGAGATATCAATCGTCAGCTGCGCGCGTGAACACTGCACTTTGCGTGAATCCCGCCGCAACCATCCGCAGGTTAAACTCATAGCTTATGCGGTATTTACTGACTGTGAATAGAGACGTCAATCATCAGCTGCGCGCGTGAACACTGCGCTTTGCGTGAATCCTGCCGCAACCATCCTTTGCCAAATGATAAGCACACTACTATACCGCGATTTTATTTTCTGTTCGATTAGTGTTCATTACAAAACTGTGGGGGGACAGATTATATTATGACTGTTCATCATTTTAAAATAGACATTTGATCTAGAGTGCAATAAAGAAGAAAAATGTATCAGTTAATCAGTTATTATTCACCTCCTGTATGTGCTTCAAGTCTTCGACGTAGACTGCATTTTAATCTTTGTTTTGCGTAAATTATAGTTACAGAAATATCCACTCTTTTACATCCTTTGCACAATCATCAGACGATCTCTTGTCGGTGGAAAGACTGTAAAGCTGCACGATGCGTGAGATCATACAGGTATACAGGTATCGGCGAGTACCAGAAACGAAAGTATCGGTATCGGACTCATTCTGAAAAAAGTTGTATCGGTGCATCCCTACTTTTCACGATCGGATAGCTATCCGATCAGAAAAAAAACGCATGAAGTGACCAGGTGTAAACAGGCCCATGTTACACAACATGCGTTCTCTTTCTCAACTATTTAACGTTCCAAAACTGACTGTGTTTAACTGGGTACTCGCCAAGACGGGCATTTTGGCATAATTTTGTATGTATTTGAACGTTTTAGCGCAGTTAGCCACTCATTTTGGTATTTGTGGCTCACAAGCTGTTTGAGACTGAGTGCGGCTTGTGTGCGCTCCACTAATATTGATCAGTTCTGGTGCGCGCGCTTTTGGTGTAAGCGCGAAACCTGCGGGAATGACTAAAATAATGCGCAATACAAGCATTTAACCGGAGTGAATGAGACGTGTATGGGAGAGAAGAGGTCGTCGGAGAGAAGAGAACGAGAATGCTGACGTCATTGCCTGTGCCGCTGGTAACAAAATGGATGAACAAACGCTCTTCTAATAATGTTAAAAGAACATTAAACGTTATCTGGTATTTATTAATGTTCTCAACACGTTAGCACAAAAACATTATTTAAACATTGCTCATAGAACATTTTAGTTTTTTTTTTTAAACGTTACTACTAACTACTTGCTTCAGATGCTTCAGAGAACATTCAAAAGTAAAGTTTCCACGTTTGCAAAATTATAAAATGGAACGTTCCTCATATATTCTAATGTCCACATATCCAAGAAAAAAAAAGTTTAAAAACATTTCAAAAAGTGGTAATTTTGAATGTTCAGAGAATGTTAGAAATAACAATTCCATAACTTAAAGGATTGGTTCACTGGTTTATTTCTAGGCTTGATTGTGTTTATGAGGTGCAGACTAACATGTGTTAATGCTTAGTTAAAAAAAAAAAAAAACATTATTTTTCACATAATTTACCTTTATTCCACACCGCTCTGTCCCTTCTCCTATTAACACGCTGATCATTTCCTGCTTTTATGAAGCCCCTGGCTCTGATTGGTTAGCTAGCCCAGTGTGTTGTGATTGGCTAAACCGCCTCTAGTGCGTGTCTAAGGGTCCCGCCCCTCACCTCAGCGGCATGTGCTCCGGTTGTATTGTAAACAACCGCGTCGTTAATATCGCTTATCAGTTTGAGCCCGATTGAGGATATTATTGAGGATATATTATAGAGGATATTATTGAAGAGGGTCGCGCAGAACCTGCGCAAGCACGGCTTTTAATGGTAGGCCTATGTTTTTTGTTTGTTGTTGTCTCATACTTTTAGATACGCTGTTATTTGTAAATGCTACTGCTTATGTTAGCTTTTAATATACGGTTACAGTATACAGTACGGCAACCGCATGTCCATGTTTAACGCTTCTCATAGCTATGTGAAAATAAGTGTATAAATGGAACAGGTCATTGTTTGAGCTGAGCTGAATGAGAGAGATAGAGAGAGAGAGAGAGAGATGCAGAGCGTGTGCAGAGCAGGGGGATGCGAGGAACAGTATTAAGAACCGCTGCTTTTGAACATTGATTTTGAAACTTGTGAATCCATTAGAATCGTTAGAAGACAGAATCTCGATTCATATATTCATTTTTACGTGCGCCTCTAGTTTTCTCTTCCTTTTCTCTAAAGCAGCACAGCATGGCCTCACCCCCTTTGCTGCCTTTTCCCGAGGGCGGGGTTTATCTGGGTTTGTTACGTCACGAACCCGGGAAGTAACTCGTTGTAGTCCCTACCAGCTGTTTTTGTAGGCATAAAACTGCCAGAATTTTAAAAGACGATATCTCCGTTTGCATTGAACTTTCAGCTTCATAACTTTGCAGATATTGTTTATGCTCAAACAGCAACATTACACACTAACTAACATTAAAAAAGTGAAATCGCAATCAACCACCCCTTTAATGGTAACGTTACTTAAACATTCTTAGTTTGTTATCTGGATCCCCCACACCTATTCTCATATTTATATTGAGATATTTTTGGTTGCAAGGGGGAAGGAACCTCACACGACTTCCACTACATTAATAATCATGTGATGTCTTCTAAATCTACCGTCTATAGCTCAGTGGTTCTTGATTACGTGACACAGCATTCCTCTCTCTCCTTCAGGGAATCAGGGTTGCATAAGTGACTCTCAACACATCAAGGCAGATGTATAATGGATGGCTTTTAGGATTTCCTGAGTCTGACTTTAGGCTAAATTTTGTATTACACAAATATCCACTGCATGTTACTTGGCCAGTCAGACTCTAGCGGTTGGCAGAGAAGCAGAGGGACCTCTTTGGAAGTAGAGAAAGAAGTAATTTAAAAAGCAAAGGCACCAGTATAGAACAGACCACAATCAAACAAAATCAGTTAAGACAGCTTTCCCATTTTTAAGCAAGCAAACAGGTGCATTGGTGATTTCATGCCGTACTGAATCTGCTCTTGCAGTGCTTGATAGGCTGTTGTGGGAGGGAGACCATGTGTTTACGAGCAAAGAGAGGGAAAAAAAGAGAGAGCCAGGGAGACTTAAGATTGTTTATGGCTACAAAAAGCACCATCCAAGCAAACAGCAAAATGTGCAATGGTGTGCTGGGAGTAAAATTGTCCTCCAATTTTATTTCCAGCACATTATAGAACATTCTGCCATACAGAGAGCAGTTAGAGTGCACAGATGTGGGTTAAATGTGCATGCATAACGATGGTGACATGAAAAATTCCAATATATTTCCATTTTAATTACTAACCTACATCTTCAAACACCATTTCATCCATACTGCAACTTACCTGCCATCCTGTCTGGTGATGGTATACCCATAGGCTGGTTTGTTAATGAAGCTGATATTTACACCGACCAGTGGTGTCCCATCTGAAGTCACTACTTGCCCCCGGATAACACAGGCATGACTGCGAGGTTAAAAAAAAAGAAAATCGTAGTGAGTAAAACTGGTTATGTCGTGTTAGAAAAGCATCAGATGCTATTTGTAAACACATATAATAAATTAAACCTCTCTGAGGAAACCTCAGCGGGGTTTCCTGTGTGAGAAGCAAAAGATAAGAGGAAAAAATTAGGATAGTGTTTGTGTCATTCCTGTTGTTTGAGAGAACAATGCGGAGGTACGAGTGCTTTCAGTCACAGCAGATATCTGGGCTTGAAACTGCCTCTATCTGATGTTATCTGTCTGCTTCAGGAGCTCCGACTTACTGATCGATATGAAAAAGTCAAACACAGTTTCTTAAAATCCTGAACAATTACAAAACAACTCCCCGCTTGACATGACTTATGACTCATAGCGTTAGAGATTTTTAATCAGGCTTCACGCTGTTCAGGCTGGAGATTATGAAGGACAAAAAAAACATATATATTAAAAATATTATATGAAAATTAGAGGGTCTCTTTTTGTAATGTAAATCTGCCACATGATGTAATATCTGGTATTAATGTATGCGATTCATTTGATTGAATAATCGGCATGTTGCAAGAAATGGCTTGTACATTAAAATATAACATTAAAGTACATTAACATCCAAAAAACTACACACATCAGCTAGGTTAAAGAAAAAAAAGCACCTAGGAAAAAATTACACATTGAGCCTGTTTCTATGAAGGCATTAGGTATTAAACATTTGCCAGGTAGCGGAACAATTAACACTGGTGTGTAAGAGGCTGGCCCCTTCCTGTCCTTACTGCGGGCAAGATCACAGACCCAACAATATCCCTGTCCCAGAGAGGCTAACTTTATGCTAATTTAAGCACCCTCTCACCTTCAGCAGTCCTTGGCTCAGCTCTGCGTCCCTGTAAACAAAGCTAGCAGAGATAGCGCACAAGTGCAGAGCCCCACCACAATGTCTATTATCAGACTGCAAGCGAACTTAAGTTGAATAGAAAATAGAGAAGAAGTAACAAAGAAAGATCACTAAATAAGAGGGTGGAAAGACAGAAAGGGAGAGAGAGAGAGAGAGAGAGATAATGTGTAAAGCTTTTGTCTATCTACAACATTGCTCGAGGTGACAGTTTGATTTAGAGTGTTCCCATTCAGAAGGGGCAGCGATGCAAGTTTTCACAGGGTGCACTGAGTGGAACTGAGCCACAGCGAAAGCTGATTCAACAACTCTACGACAAATGATTTAAATATTGATATTAAATACATCTGAAGAAGTTAAAGGAGAAAGGAGGCACAGTGAAGTAGTCTAGACAAAAAGTCTAAAGTTTATTTATTCAGCAAACCCCTCTCTCAAGATAGTCGGAATGGCAGATAAAAGTGCAAGGAGGTTTATAAACAACAGAGATACCACCTTGTGTAGCACTGCGTTGGAAACCATGTAATAGAAGCAAACTGCAGGCCAGGTTTGACTTGATATTAGAAAAGACATCTTAAATAACTATGAAGCTAAGCATTCTAAACTGTCCTGAGAGGCAGCTTCTGGGAGCGCTAAGAAGCAGTGGTCTGAACGCTTATGTGTTTGAAAACGGCTAAAAAAAGGCTAAATGGTTAATAGGCAAAATTAATGCTTGCAAACTCTTTGCTGAAGTGGAATTATTAAATAAAACTTGCAGCAAGTTTCTTTAGCACTGTAAAGCTAACAAGCTAATTAGATTTGCTTCTGTAAACAGTCACTATGATACTAGGGTTATTATCAGGGCATTGCTAAACAACTTAGCAACAAAAGTACAGCTTAGCATCACTGTTCCTAATTTTGTTGTCAATCCATCTAAAGTCTTGGCGTGAAGTCTTAGTAAGCACTGCTAATTACTTAAAAAGCTTCATAAGAGGGGCTAAATACAAACATGCTCCCTCTCTTACATTATATCTGTGAACAGCAGTTCTTCCCTTTCGCAGAAACTGCGATGTGTTCTAAATAGGCTAAATGGAGAGAAATAATGGGTCATCTCAGGCTGCCCCCACCCCCTCCGCCATCTCCACATGATGGTAAAAGGGGCTAAGTACACTCAGATGCAGCAGGCAAACAACTTGACCCAAGTGCATCTCCAGGCAAGCACATTTATTAATTTGTGCGATCCATGGTGTTCAGATAAACAGAGCTCATGCTGTAAAGGTTAAAGAACATTGGAAGAACATTCAAAAAGTTTCAGACAGGTGAGTCTTGTAAAACAGGGATGATAGGTGACTTTGATCATTCCCAGGCGTCTTGCTTTCTTGTGGTTGGACATGTCAGATGTGCATTTTCGACATGTCTCTGAGCATGCAGAAGTGGTTGTGGAATCAATAAAAAGGCCTGATCAGGTGATGGCAAGGGGCTCTTTTAGACCGACTGCGGCTATGTCTAAGAGGTCCATCTGGGCGGCTGTCAGCCTCTCTCATATCTGTCAGTGGGCGGAGGAACGAAGAGGTAATAAATTATATATCAGCCCTGATATTTTTAGGTGAATCGAGGTCTCCGATCTTGCGGCTGCTGGCCGACTTCTAAAGCTTTTATTTATTTATGTCTCTTTTTTTTTCTTTGGAGATGATGGTGATGAAGGGTAGGCTGAGACTCTCATCTTGAAATAATGAAGAGGGTATCGGAAGACTCCCTACCGAGCATCTCAAAAATGTCACCTTGGGAAAATGTCACAGGGCATTACAAGAGCATTTCATGAATACCGGGTGACATGTTCACAAAAGGCTATATCAAACAAAGTCTAGTGTTTCATCTTTGCATGAGGTTATGCGAATCGGACACGAGTTGATTGAGGGCGCAGTGATTTATGCAACAGAAGAACGTCTGGCAGATAGGACTGAAATGAGTGCATGAAGGAGAGCGCTGGACAGCTTTGAAGTGATCAGAGTCTCATTAGGACAGCGCAGATTAGACAAAGGGAGTCCGTGCTTGCCAGAGGCTCAGTCACACAAACCAAAAGGCCATTTGGTCCAGAGTCTGAGCTGAACTGTGGGAAATGGCCATTTAAGAGATGTAAAAACAATACCCTGATCACTATAGTTCAGGGAAGGACTGTTCACTGATCCAAAACCCCTCTAAACAAGAAATTTCCACTTGAGTTTCCAAATGAACAAAGCAAGACAAGGTCTAAAAACAGAAGGCTTTGAATCGAAGACCTCTTTGGCACATTATGCCTTATGGAGCTACGAATCAAAACGTCAATGTACCCTGGGCGGCACCATTAGAGACATTCTCCATGGAGAGCACAAAAAGATGCTCATTTGTTTGTTACATTTTAATTTTTGCCTTTGAAATGTCAGCTCTACTTTCATGAAAGGAATGCGGGGATACTCTACGACATTTCAAAGGAGCACAACTTTTTCCCCAAGTCTCTAGTAGCATCTTTTGTGCTCATTTCAATTTAGAACAGAAAGAGAGAGAGGGAAGAGACCAGTGCAAGAGTGGGATGCAAATGCAAAAGTGGTGTTCTAGGTATTGTTTACAGATAAAAAGGGAACGCCACAAATGGAGGCAAAAGATGAAAAGTCATATGGGATCACACAGTGACAGCACTGTTCTCTCATGCGAAACATCTTTGGGGCACCTTGGGATGAGCCCCATGCCCTGTTTGTTTACAGGAACTAGAGTTGTAGATGGATTGACAGCATCTACTTATAGTTACTGATTGATCTTAATATTACCACTATAGTGAATTGGGATTTGGGATAAATATGGAAAAGAGAACTGCAAGAAACTGCACAAAAACTGTGAACATTACTACTGAAATACTTACATGCCATCAAAGGGGTTGGCGCCAGGGATGACGTGGGTACTGTCCCGGCCCACCAGAAAGCGGACACGCTGGTAGAAAGACTGCAGGGTGCTCAGAGTGGAAGAGATCTGGGTTTCCTGGATAATATCCAGTGGATCAGGAGAGCCCACACACAGAGACGTGGTGTGACATGTCTGCAAACAGCAATCTGGGTCCATGCAGTCCATCAACCCATCTGATAGAGAGAGGACAGGTTTAATCTTTAATAACAGGGATGTAGAGTCACAAAATTAATCAATGTATTTTCACAAAATTATTATTCTTTTTTTTTAAGTAAGTGACAATGTATCTGCTTATAAATTGCCTTCACTTACTAGTGGCAGGATTTACATGGTTTCTAGCTAGACAAAGCTAGTTTAGCTAGTTGATCAAATGGACTACAAGCTGGTGTACTTGGTTTCCTGTGGTGGATCATCTTGGTCAAGTTGGTTAGAGGTCATAGACCACCATGGCCAAGGTGCCACACTACATATAGATTTAATTGGGGTAGGGGTAGGGGGTTAGGTTTAGGGCCTCATTAGCCTATCAGTCACAAACTGTGGCACTTTCCTCCAGTGGGCACCAGTGAATGTTCCAGAAACCAGCTTGATCAGGTATGACCTGGTTACCAGAAATGTTCAAAACCTGGAGCACAGATGCCTTCCAACATGCTTATTTTGTCCAAGCTAGCGTCATTCCCCTAGGTCAGTATCTTTAAAGGAGAGGAAAAAGATTTAATCATCCCAAGATGAACATGCGCGAACCGTTAGCAGGATCTTGAAAACTTCTGAGAAATAACTGCCTCTGTTGGATGGCTTTCTGTGCCCTACAGCTGCGTTACTGCAGTAAGTTAGAGCCAGTCTGGCTTCTTATTTCCTTCATGTTTTTTTCTTCTTCTTTTTTTCCCCCTCTTTCCAACAGTTTCCACACCTTTACAGGCAGCTCAGCCTCTCCCTCCTGTAATTCAGCTGAAATAATTCAGGACTTCAGGCCATGCTGAGAGGAACCCTTTAATGTACTGAACTGGGTCATCTCTTATTCTCTAATATCTCTCTCTCTCTTCCTCTCTCTCTACTTTCAGGAACCTCTCTGACCAGATGGGCCAAATTATAAAAATAACACCTCTCCTGGTGGAAGCGTCACCACTGCTTGTTTCAGTTGCTGCAATACTACCACCAATTGACTGCTTTAGTGATATGACATGTGGCCAAGTATGGTGACCCATACTCGGAATTAGTGCTCTGCATTTATCCCATCCAAAGTGCACACACACACACCTGGAGCAATAGGCAGCCATTTTTTGCTGCGGCGCCCGGTGCACCTCAAGGGCACCTCAGTTATGGTATTGAAGGTGGGAGAGAGCGCTGTACATTCACTCCCCTCACCTACAATCCCTGCCGGTACGAGACTCGAACCCGCAACCTTTGGGTTTCGAGTCCGACTCTCTAACCATTAGGCCACGACTTTACTATTAACATATGTGCTAGAAGTTTCTGATTGGTATTCTACAGGTTATCATCCATTTTAGTTTGGTCTGCATGTCTTTTCCATTTGGCTGGATACCCTCACAACCTGTTTTTGCTGTTTTCATGAGAATCTCTACAAAGCAATTATTTAGGAAGGTCACAAAAGCACCATCAGGCCTGTATCTGCAACAAATGCTAGTCAGTGCTAAAACAGAGTTTGGTAACTACAGCAGAACAATAATCTCCCCGAAGAGTTTGCTCAACAGTGCAAAAAATTTTTTATTCTCAGAGTGGTTTATGAAAAGACAAGGCTACCTTTGATTTAGAGGCTTGGCAGGAGGTCTGTTCCAAGCTGATGCTTGCTTGGAAATGGAAGCTAGGTGATGTGGATTTAGTTCGTCTCTCTGTGAGCTTGGGGAACTTGAAGCCTATGACTTTGACTAAACAACCCACTCTTCTACAAGTGGGTCCACGTATCCACAGGGAAGGTCTGATCATTTCCAATGCTATTTAAAGAGCTGAATGCTTTTAGCTCAATGAAGGTGCTCAAGGCAAACTCTAGATTGTAGTGTTTTAAGTGACAAACTGACAACAGCATAGGCATCATAAACAACTCTAGTGTAGGCAATAAAGAAGAGAAGAGAAAAGAAGAGATCCCAGCAAAGACTGTTAAATCTTCCTAATAAATGTCAAGGCAGCGTGTTGTTTGTGTTGTACCTCCGTCATTGTCCTTGCCGTCACTGCAGGCCGTCTCCATTGATGTGTCGCAGCCTGCTCCCCGCCAGCCCAGCTGACAAACGCAGTACCAGCCATTATTACCCAGTGTGCATCTGCCGTTGCCATTGCACAGACCAGGACAGCCCTCTGTGCACACAAAAGCAAAGCATACACATTAGAGAGGGCACTTTTCACCAAAACAAACATTGCACTATAACAGACAAGACGTTGCAAAGCCTAGTTACTATATCCTAGATGAAAAAAATTCAAAATGAAGGGTTGTGGGTCAAAAGAGTGCTTCAGCAATAACAGTGATAACTTTAGGTGATTAACTGATACACCTTTTTAAGCCCTTATATCCTATAGAGGCATACTCATACTGCAGAGCTCCTCTGGATCAATACATTCTCATTAGTGTTGTACAATAGATGCAGAACTCTGCTCTAAACAGAAAGAGAGAGAGAGAGAGAGAGCAAGAAAAAGAGCTAATTCTAACCTGGAAAAAAAAAACAATTACCTCAACTAGATAAACAGCAATATGGATAATCACAGTGTTTCTTGGGTAATACAACTAACAACCTTAGCTTTAGATAGCAGACTAGTCTAAAACGTGGAAACCACAAGCACCAGGTACAACACAAACCATATGCTTAATTCCAATAATGTAAATGCCATGGCACATTTCGAAATAGGATTTCACAGGCCTGTGCTTGAGCAGGGAGGTTAATGCTGACAGGATGTAGAAAGCACAGGTGGCACACGGTCCTACAGACATGGTACACTCCATACGACAGCGTAAAATGTCTGTCATTGTCATCTGTTTCCTCCTCCCTCACTGTCACTTATCAGCTACCTGTCCAATTCCATTTCCTAAGATGAAAACATAGACGAAAGGCAAGAAACCCTGCACAATCAAATGTAAAATCCTGACATGCTTTTCACAAGCCAAGAGCCGCTCTCCAAGATGTCTGAGCTGACCTATTTTGTCAGCGACAGTTAGCACAGCCACTGCTCGAACATCACAGATACTAAAGGAAGGGAGAGAGAGAGTGGGAGTTTGTATAGAGAAAGAAAGGTGGTGGGTGCCTGATAAGAAGGAAATGTGAGATGCCTCTAAAAGCCATGATCATTTCTAAAGATGGCTCAATGTGGAATGGCATGCAGTGTTTTCATCTATGATTTGTGCATCATGATGCTATGCTCAATGTTCCAAGACAGCTGTGCTTCAATAACTGATGTATGTTAGCACATTTAGCACCATCTGACGCAAGGAAAAAAAAATCGCTAATCTTTGCCATAGCATGTAAGTCTACACCTAAATGGAGAATCCATCATGAAAGTGGGCTGTAATGTTGACTTAATTATATAGCTGCACAGATCAGCACAATGTCATGCAAATATAAGAAAGAGCAATGGAGCTGTAGAATAGTGGTAAGAGCACATGCTCTGATACAGTGAGCTATGATACTCTTGGGTAAAGAATCCCAAATGTCAATTTTCATGACTAGCATGATCTTGTCTAAACATGCTCCTGGAAGACCAGACTACCTTCCTGCAGATTTTAGTGCTAACCCCAATTAAACACACCAGAACCAGTTAATCAAGGTCCATTAGCTTACTCGAAAGTTCCAGGCAGGTGTACTGGATCAAGCTGAAACTAAATTCTTTAGAAAGGTGGACCATCAGGAGCAGTAGCATGTCCCAGTGTGCACAGTAGGGTGTCTCTTTTGCAGGACCCACACATCATTGATGCTTTGCACTTCTCAGTGGAGAACTACTAAACAGTCAGTACACAATGCTATGTCAACAGTGTGTGCACTTTGAGGACGACTAAGGGAACCATATGGAACGAGGCCAATGGACGATCTCATTTCTTGTCTTTTCTCGACTCTCAACGGAAGTGACAAAAAAGCAGATCACAAAACACAAGGTTGCATTTGCATTCACAGCCTCCAGCTGACCTCACATCGGTGTAAGGTCGATCTTTTTGCGCTACAAGGCAGGCAGTGACAGTTATATACTTTGCTAACAAGCAAAGAATGAGCTTGACCAGTAGACAGCAGGTTCCTCCTTAAACACCCAAACAGACAAACAGCTGCACAGTCTGCAGTGGCGAGACGTCTGAATGGTCTGTTCTGAATGCTTATTAAATAACTAAATAAATAAAGATCTGTGCTCTGCTGGCAGCAATTCAGCTTAATTGGCAGCCCTTTCAGAGAGAGGCCCCTGTGGAGTGCACCCGCGCATCAGGCAGAAACGGCTCCGGAGGGCCACAAACCGCCTCGCGCGACCCCTGCAGTTCACGCTAGCCGCACAGCTTCTCTGTGTGGGAAGAAAGGGAGGGAAGGGGTGGGCTCATAGAGCAAGAAAACCAGAGACAAGAAAGGAAAAAACAAGGAGCAGGTAGGGGGTGTGGGCAGCTTGGGGCCCTGGCATCACCGGTGCATAGCATGCTTTAATTAGGCTGCCGCTTCAGCACCTCTCAGAACCCTCTCCCTGTGCTACACAGCTGCACTGAACATCCATTATGCATGGCGCCAGTTGGCAAGGTCCGTGACCCTCCGCCAGCCCTCCCTCCTTGGATCCTGTGGGCCATCCATCCCCTTGAGTTCCACAGCAGGTATACGGCGGCAAAGGAGACGCTCCGGCTCTCGTGCCGCCCACTCAGTGGGCGTGAAGGTGCTAAGTGGCGAGGTGGCAGAGCAGCGCATTGGATGTGGTGGCACAACAGCAGCATGACGCAGCAAAGACTGTGGTTAGTGTGGCATGAAGCATGGGCTGAATGAAAATAGCAGCGCAACCCTAAAGATGAGCATTACGAAGGATGGGCTGATGGAAACATGATGGACGACAGAACATGAGAGAGGAAGAAAAGATAGGACAGGAGGAGTGCCATACCTTTCACTACCTTATCCAGATAGTGAGCTTTAGGGGGAGATAAAAGACAAGGACATATAAGGGAGGTTTTGAACAGTGCTGCTTCCATGACAAGACACAGACAGCTAGAGGCATGGGCTGGTTGCTCAAGACTTCTATGTTTACAGAAACACAGGGGCTGCAAAAGCTATAGCAAGGAAAATAGCATGCAAAAAGCAACACGCCACATCACAGGCTGGGAGAAAGTTAAAGGTATGGTGTGACAGGGTAGAGAAAGAGAGAGATGGAAAAAAGATGTAGCGTGAAGTCTCAGTTTATCAGTACATGTATTAGAGGAGTGAGATGTTTTGGCAACACTTTCTATGAAGCCTGAATATATAAACCATTATAAAGCTCTTCTTACTACCTTATGTTAGACATTGTAATTTTTTATATACATTTTTAAAAAATATATTATTATTAAGAAAGAGCATGTCACTGATGAGACCGCCACACTCTAATCCAAACTGCAGTGAAGAGGCAACACGTCATCTGTCGAACATTCTGTACATTACATCATTGACCGTCACACTTTGCCTTTAATGGCACATGCTTATGAGAATATATGATCCCTGCTGTTGGAATGCTATGTCTCACCCGAGACAATTCAGGGAAAGCCGCTAGGGCGGGGGCGGGTGCAGTTTCGCGCCCCGCCGCTAAGATTGAGGATCGGAAGTCTGCATGAGGAAACCATTTCCTTCCTGGTACTAGAGGGACCCACCGTGGATATCATCCTGGGACGCCCCTGGCTCACCCTCCATTCTCCAGAAGTCAGATGGGAACCCTGTGATATCACTCACTGGAGCGAGTCATGTCAGAGAAACTGTCTCCGCACTCTACCCGTACCGCTTCCACGCCCCGTCAGGGCTCAAGTTGCTTCCACCCTGGTTGAAAGCCCAGAACCGCAAGAGACACCGACCGTCCCATCTGACTATGCGGCGTTCCAGGATGTCTTTAGTAAGCAGGCAGCCACTCGCCTTCCACCGCAACGGCCATGGGACTGTGCCATCGACTTGCTGCCTGGGGCAAAACTCCCTAAGGGTAGAGTATACCCACTGTCCATCCCGGAGCGCAAGGCCATGGAGGATTACATCCAGGAGGCTCTTAAGCAAGGTAGGTCCGTCCAAAGCTGTTCAGTCTGTGCCATGTTTAAAACCCCACGTCATCTCCCCGTAGGCAAGCTCGTCCCACTGCCCGTGCCCCGTAGACCCTGGTCCCACATTGGAGTGGATTTCTTTTTAGTTAAAATAAAAGTAAATTAAAGCCGACACGTGTACACAACTGCAAAAATAATGAATGTTTTAAAGGGGTCCTATTATGCTTTTTCACAAATATGTGAAAAATACAACCTAGTATGAGAGCATGTTCTAGTACACCCCCAAAACAAAATCAAGACTTTGTAAAAGAGCATAATAGGACCCCTTTAATGTTTTTGCAGTTTAATTCCCCAACGTAAAGAATGTCTTTCCAGTGACTGCTCTGCTCATGCAATGCAAATGTTTGTGTTTAAAATGAACTAGTTGAAAGGAACGAGAGAGAATAAGAAAGGAGGGAAATGATGAGTAGAAATGAATAGACACCTTAGCACATTCCCACATTAAAATGCATGAAGACAAGCTTCATATCCTTGAGCAAACCTGTTCATGCTATGCCGAGTTGCACAAATTCAATTACGCATGCTTCTCTCACACCTCCTCGCCCGCCCCTTCCCCCCATCACGACCCCACCCTCATCCGACACTTCACGCACACATAAACGAGCGCATCTGTCTTACCTATAGTGCAGTGTTCTCCGTTCCATCCCGGGCTGCATTCACACTTCCCATCTTTGCAGGTCCCGTGCTCGCTGCAGCGTGGGTGACAAGCCCGTTGTTCGCACCCAGCACCCATCCAGCCCTCGTCACAGCGACAGTTGCCCGCCACGCAGATGCCATGTCCACCACAGTCGGCTGCACACAGCTCTGTGGGACACAGGGAAAGAAGGGGTGTTACCGAATAGTAGTTGGGACAGGGGGTAAAGAGAAAGCAAATCCAGGAGTTATTGTCAGTGATGGGACGGCCACGCTCCACTACCTTGTCTGATGGGTAGTGAAAAGAAATTCCTGCACCTCATAAAGGGGGCAATCCCCTTTGGACAATACAAATCTAATAAGACCATTACAAAGCAGGAGTTCAGGGATTGTGGGAGGTTTAACAGGGCAGTGTCTCTTCCTTTCTTTTTTGGGGGGAATTCCTCCTTTTGTGTGGAGGGGAGTAGGCAAAAATGGAAAAAAAGAAGAAAGAAAAGTCAAAGAACAAAATCCAATTTTGACTTCCCATAGAAATGGAGACACACGCTGGATTATTTAAGTCGGTTTTTCTGCATAAGTAATGAGGTGAAAGCTGAGACAGCATGGCACAAAATGCTATAAAAGAAAGATTTGTGAGACAATAATTGAAATTTAGTTCACAAATTAAATCTAACACATGAGATTTTAAAAATAAAATGGTCTCTGCCTCCGAGGGCTTATAGGGGAGGTTTGGCTGTGTGAACCAAAAGTGCCAATTAATTCACTTGACACTACATATCACACCTAGTGAGTTTGACATTTTGACATAATGGAAAAGCTCCAGAAACATGTGTGGCATAAAGCACAAAACATCAATTGAAATGATAAGGGGAAGTTAACAAGAAATACTTTAGGGAAGTTGACAGACCCAGACGTTAGACTTCATTTACAAGTGCATAAAGAAGTCAGTGAATAGTGGAGGAGGAAGTGTCATGATTTGGGAGATGTTTTCTGCAGCAGGAGTTGGGCCTCTTATTCAGCTACATGGCAGGGTGAATGCAAATGTTCATCAGAACCTCCTTCATCAACATGCGGTACCTTCCCTGCAAGCATCTCCCAATCAGCCTGCAACTTTCATGCAAGACAATGACCCCGTCACACTGCAAAACAGGTAAATCGGTTACTTGAAGCTAAGAATACTAAAAATAATGAAATGGTCGGCCCAGAGATCTAAACCAGATTGAAAATCTCTGTAAAATCCTCGGCGACTAAGAAACCCACTACAGTCACTGAACTATGGAAGAGATCCAAGATCACACCAGCGCAGTCTAAAAAACCTACTGATGTCCTGGAGCCGCAGATGTGCTGAAGTCATACAAAGCAAGGGCCTCTACACTTCCTACTAATGTCTGACAGCTGCAACCCTCCAAATTTTTAGTTGTAATCTTCTTTCGTACTACAGTGGTTACTATTTTCTAATTTTGATCACTGTTTTCCACAAAATAAAGGTTTTTGTTGAAATGGTTATTTTGTCAAACATGTTAGTGGAACAGTGGTATACCTACAGCTAATATTCCTTCATATTTTGAGCGATGAAGATTAACAATATTTCAGAAAAAAAAATCAAGTATTTATAGATTGTTCTCTAATTCTGATCTCCACTGTACATATATTTAATTTAAAAAAAAGTTTATCAAAATTATTGTGGTGTATGCTTTATTGGTGGATACAATGTAAAATCTTGATATGTAAAAAAGAAAGAAACATTAGCACACGCTATGCATCAAGTACTCTAATATAATAAAAATAGCGGCCCTCTAGAAAACATAGAACAGTGATTATGTGCCGTTGTCTAATTTGTAAAATGTATGCAGAAGGGAGTCAGAAAGAAGGTTGCCTATAGGCCATTAATGAGTCAATTATGTTCATGTAGCTCTGCATTTTGTCATTGTTACAAATTAAACAGAGTTAAGTTGGTATTTTCAGGCACAAACCATAACATGGCATTACCAGATTTAAAAGCTTGAAGGAAAAAAAAAATCCTTCCCTCATGCTAATTACAGCACTGGGCCTTTGTTAAATTATGTAAATGCCCTTAATTTCACATGCAACATTTCAATTAGAGCCATCCTAATGGCATTTTATTCAGAGCTGCTTAAAGTTGTCAGGGAGACACACAGTTGCTCATTTCCTCTGGTTCTTGCTCTCGTTTATTGTCCCTCTCTCAATTTGCTTAGTGTATTTTGCCCCTCGCTCTCTCGCATACACACAAAAACAACTCACTAGATTATAGGAATATCGTTTTCTCATAACAGTGTTCCTCAAAGCGATTCTCATAAAGGTAACACACCAGCCAAATGACAGGATGATACCATCTGCGAATTGTTCCAACAATGCTTCACTGCAGGGCAAAGACGCTAATAACGTTGTACAATAATTGGGTAACTCCTGCTCGCGTCCTTTAATGGAGGAGGAGAACTAATTGATGCAGATCTTGAACGTTTGCAACAGCTCATTTCAAAACGTGGTGGAGCTGCCCGACTGCCCACATACTAGAGCTGAAAGCTTTCTTATTCAATTACCAACACTGACCAAGAGAACCGAGGCAAAAAGAAGGAAAACAGGGGAGAGAAATAATTTTCATCTTAGGAGTGGCCTTATCTCCGTTTAGTTTTGCTGCATAACATTTATTTTACCCCCAAAATTTGTTAGAACCATTACTTGTACAATTAATGTGTGTTAAATTTGCAGAAAACGTTTCATTATTTTATTTAATTTTATTTACCAAACCAAAACTCACATTTTCCACAGTTTATCAGTAGCAATACATGAAATGTTTGTCAGTGTTAAACGGTTGCCAGATGTTTGCCACAGGAGGTAAATATACTTATGTTATGTTATCTTATTTATTATTTGTATCTTTTTTATTTTAATTTAAACTTCATGTTAAACTAAAGTAAATGAAGTAAATTAAAGTAAAATAGTACAATTAAATAACATTATTCACAGCGTATCGATACGAATACATGTGTTAAATTTGCTGGGTGTTTTTCTGGCGTGGTTGCAATTCAGATCGGTAAGCAGAGGCAGGTGGAGGAGAGTACAAGTCTCGTAATAATTTAGTCATGCTGCATCTTTCGCTTGAGAAGCCAGGCTTTAAACGGCTATTTCCAGCAAAGCTCTTGGATTACCCAATAGGTCAGTCTGTCTGCTTGGCATTAAAGGGAAATTCATATTCACATTCATATTGTTTTTCAAAAATTTGCTGAAGCAAAATTCCCATTAGTTCTCTGATCTCTTTAAGCTTTGTGGTGTTTACAATAGCAGCGACCAAAATAACGATATTGCATCACTGCTTTTGAGCACTTCTGGAGAGATATCAATAATAAATGTCCTCGTTTCAAAACTGGTTTAGTAAAATAGCATTTGGTTTTCTCCCTTGTGGTACAGGGGAAGAAAAAAAAAACGTATTATCAATAACTAAAACTAAAACTATAGAAAACATTTTATTGATATTATTTTATTAATGAAATAAAAGAGAATTAATAGGTGAAAAAAATAGAAATGTTGGCTTGGCATCTAACGAAAATAATTGTATGCACTAAAACGACTAACTAGAAATAAAACTGAATTAAAAATAAATTATTCCTAAATAGTAATATTTAAAAAAAATAATAATAATAAGAATGACAAAAGCACATAGCCAAATTGCAAAATATTGAACTAAAATTGAAATGAAAACTGAAAATAGAAAAGTAAAGCTAATTCAACATTTTAATAAAAATAAATAAATAAAAAACAATAGTACATAAATAATGCTAAAATAACACTGATTGGTGCACATGAAAATAATTAAAGATCATTCTTCCTTGTGGTAATTTAGTGAAACTGACAAATAAATAAATAATATATAGGTATATATTTGGTCCTACACTAAAGTACCAAATTTCAGACACACCTAAATAATATTTAATGGTATTATCATTTTTTAATTGCCATTTAAAAATAAATAAATAAATTGAATTACCTCATGAAGTAAGTTAAGATAAAAGGCAGAGATGAAATCTAAACAAAGGATTGTTGCTTTGAAGATAACATGTTTTGATTTGTGTAGCATTTTTAGACATAATAAAGAATTAGTAAGTGAGTCCAAACTTCTGACCATTAATATGTATTAATATATATTTCGGAATGTTAAAATACAAATGCTGAACATTACTTTTGTTAGTAAAATGTTTAGGTGCATCTCCTTTCAACCAACTGCACTAGTGTATTACAGGGTGTCTGTCTTTCACATTAACTAAACCACAAGTGAAAGACTCATGTCCACTGTAGTCATCAGTGTACCGTCTTGAGTGAAAATCAAAGCACACTATCCATGTCGCTGTTTAACAGAATCTGGCTCTCGCCATCCGCCATGAGGTGCTAAACAACTTTTGCTGCATCAGACGCTGCTGTTTCACCCCCACCTCCTGATGGAGGTCTAACTAGTGTGACCGAATGTGGAAAAATCTCTGTGAAAAGGTGGTCAGGCATGACCGGGAGAGGGGTCTAAATTGTTTTGAAACCATGGAGAATTTGACCAAACGGTCTATTCTTGATGAGAAAAAAAGAAAGGAAATGGCACAGTGGTGACTTTATCAACCAAGTTTATAAATGGCTGCTTAATTCCGAAGGAAAAATATATTTGAAGTGTTCAGAATTTCAAAATTTGAATTTAAACTTCCAGTTATAGGCAAAAGATTGCATGTTTACTGAAGCGCTTTGCACACATTGTTTTCTCAATCACATTGAGGTAAATTAGGTGGAGCATGAAATTACACCCTGACACCTTTAGTCACCGCTGTCATGGCAACAGGTGGGTGGAGATTAGCAAAGCTCAGCTGCATCAAGGTTCATTTAGAGGGTTTACGAAATTTTAACATGAATCAGTTCATGCACAGGCACGCATAAATATGTGTTGAACCGCTCACAAAGACAGAAATTCAAAAACACAGGTGTACAATTTGCCTTTCAGATTAGTGTGATGCTAACACTGTTGCACATAGTGCACTCTGAGACACAGATACGCGATATGATCAGATTAGGCAGGTATTTGTACAGGATGAGATACTTATATGATTAGTAATTATCAAAGGTCAAAAAGAAGCAATATTTCTATGAATATGGTAATTATTCAGTGCAAATGTTGCATGATTTTTTTTTTTATATATATATATTCGCATGGAAGCCCGTTTCCGCTACAGAATAAATAATATAAAATGTAACTGCAACTTTTTCTCTCTCACAATTCTGACTTTTTTTCTCTCAATTGCGAGTTTATATCTTGCAATTCTGACTTTTTTATCTCACAATTCTGACTTTATAACGTAGTTGTGACTTTATATGATGCTATTCTGACTTTATAACTCACAATTGCAAGAAAAAAAAAGTCAGAATTGTGAGACTGAATGTCGCGTTTACCTTTTTTTATAGAGTGGTGGGCTTCTATATATCTGTGATTACTGTGTTCACATTTATCCTTTATGAAAGGCTCATTACACTAGTTTTGCAATTCTTCTTTGTCTTGTGTCTCATGAGTATGAGAGTTTTAAGACAGAAGTTTTAATAGTGTTTCTGATTAACTTCAGTAGCATAATTGGTGTCACAATCTGTAAACTCAATTTTCAAAATTTACAAAATCTAAATTTACATGAATTAGTCCAATCTCTTTGCTTTATTGAAATCAAAATTTGTTTTAGTTCAGTGTTGGTAGATGTTAATGTAGGTAAAGTCAACTTGAATTGTAATTTGTAACCTATTTTACTTTCATAATCTGATGTATTGCCATGTATTGTTGTATTGGTGCCAGTGTTGTTAATTAAAGCTAAAACTATTAAAGGGGTCATATGATGCGATTTCAATTTTTCCTTTCTCTTTGGAGTGTTACAAGCTCTTGGTGCATAAAGAAGATCTGTAAAGTTCTAAAGTCTCAAATCCAAAGAGATATTCTTTATAAAAGTCAAAAGTCAACCACGCCCTCCTAAAACGGCTCTTTCTAACACGCCCCCACATGTCTACGTCACGATGTGGGAAGATTTGAATAAAGCCGCCCAAATGTTCACGCAAAGAAAGAAGGCGTAACTTTGATTCTCCCTGTAGTGTTGTCGCCGCCGCCGCCGTCATGTCGTGGAGACGCTGTGTGTTTCGTTATGAAAGCGAAACTATTTTGTTTGGCCTTCCAAAAGAGGACACAACTAGAAATCAGTGGTTAAGTTGTATTTACAACACTGTTCCGGAACAGTTCAACCCAAATATTCAGATGTCTGCAGAGCATTTTATGGAGGATGAGGACTATTTCCTGGGAGAGTAGCCTACATTGCCGGTGTCTGTTTCTATAAAGTGGGGCAATTCCAACTTTGCAAGGACAGTCTGGCGCTTCTGACTACCAGACTGTAAGTACGTTTTTTATATTTAAAGAATTTGCCACTGATGACTCAAACGCGAGTTTGAGCAGTGTAGAGTAGCGCTTATTGTTTGTCATTTCTCCGATCACAAATGCAGACATGGTTTTATGTTTACGCGGCGCGATGCAACGCAACGCGTAAAAAGACAGTATAAGTCATTATAATCAGTAATTATGTCCCCACTGGATGCTACAAATGCCTCGTTTGTAATGGGTTTTATTGGTTTTGTCTTGTCGCGCCAGGACACGCATCACAGTATGGTTAGGGGCGTAACATTTCCGTCACACGCTTGAGGTATTCGGCCAATCACAACGCACTGGATAGCTGGCCAATCAGAGCACACCTCGCTTTTCAGACCGATGAGCTTTGTAAAAATCGACGTGTTTCAGAAAGGCAGGGCATAGAGGAGAAACAATAATGTACATTATGTGGAAAATAATGTGTTTTTTTAACCTTAAACCGCATAAACACATTTTATTACACCAAATACACAAAATAATGTTATTTTTAGCAACGTCATATGACCCCTTTAAAAATCTACCACTGTTCTGACCTGTGGAGCAGTCGTGACCAGTCCAGTTGGGGTCACAATTACAGGTGTTGGTATCAGCCAAAAAGGTCCCATGTCCAGAGCACTGCTCCATACAGGAAGCACGTGGACTCTCGCATCCAGGACCTCCCCAGCCTAAAAAACAATGGCACTCTCCGCGCACACAGACACCTCTCCCTGAGCAGGCCGGGTCCAGGCAGTCCACTGCAAATTAGAAAACACAAAGCACGTATTAACTGACTCATTTTCACATCAAAAGATAATTCAGAAGCAGAATTCAAAGTAAAAATACACCAGTGAAGCCATTTCCCATCAGACCAAACTCATCATCAAAGACAAGCGCACTAGATCAAACCTGAACAGATGCATGTGCTCACATTAAACTCATAGCTCAGTGTCCCCTGCTGTTCCTCTTCCTTTCAAAGTATGACTCAAGCCTTAGTCATCAATCCCAGGCCAAAAAAAAAAAATTTGACTCTAGAGGTTTAGCTCTTGTAGCGGAGAGCGCGCCACATGCCCAGCGGTGTCTGAGGAGGTCTGACACTTTCAAAAACCCTGAGAGAAATAGGATTTACAAATGGTCAAATTAAATGGCCACATTGACTGTCGTGCAGTAAACTGGCAGGTGGGAAGAGTGTTGCGCTCTCTCTCTGACTCCTCTAGCTGCTGGTAATGAGATTTCCTCTCAGTACCGGGAGGGGAAAAGACTGGCGCGGTCGGAGCATGTTCTGCTAAATTGAAAAGCGATGCTGGATGTGGTCCCCCCACTTACTGTGAACCCAAAACCAAGCGTGACAGAATGCAAACAAGGACACCTACAATGGCCCATGGGCGAAAGGCTCATCTTCCTGTACCCACATTACTCTAAATTAATTTCTAATCCTCGTTGAAGAATATGCTATGGATCAGTCACCCCAGACCAATATTCTAAAGATGGAGGTTCGCAAAAGAAAGAAAAATTGATTAAAGTGAAAATAAAACTTCATTCATAAAAAAAAAAAAAAAAACTTTTTAATGAAAAAGGATATTTGGGGGTGGGGGGTGTAGGCAGAAGATTTGTGCACCATTCAGAACTGAACTGAGAATTATTTTTACATTCCAATTCAATTTCTGAACTAGAACTGTCATAGCCAACACAATGCACAACCGCCATTTAAATTTGAATGTAAGTAAATATGATATAAGTTGATATTTTAACTTTATTTTAATTAGAAAACCCATGTTTGTCAAGATTTTTGACATTTTTAAGTCAAAAAGTTGAAAGATTTATAGGTAGATATAGAACAACAGGATGCTAGATAGACAGAGTGAATATATGCCAGAACAGCAGAATGCTAAAACAAGCAAACTATTGAATACTAAAATGAACAAATGAATGATGACAATAGAATGTTAAAGCAAATGATAGAATACTATAGAATGCATGTTGGAGCCAATAGTTTCACTGTTGTAGCATTCTCTCCCACTACATTTCCTGTTAATTCTATACTATCCTAATTCAATATTCTCTCTCATAGAATGCATGAATGGACAAATGATAGAATTCATGAATGACCACCCAAACAAATGGTCAATAGATAACTATATTGCTATATAGAAAGGATTATATATTTAGCATATTTAATAACCAGGGTGAAATAATACTTGATTTCCCAAAATGTTTTTCTTTTCAGTTCTTTCAATTGCAATTCGGTAAATTCCTCTTTCTTGTCAATTTCCAATTGAAATTAATGTGTGTGTGGCCTATTCAAATTCCATAGCTGATATGAGACAATTCTTCAATTCTGAATTTTGCACAACCATCATAGGATCTGAGTTTTGATGTATTGGGAATTATTAGGATCCACCAGGAATGTGTATTAAGTAATTACAAAGTATGAAACTTGGAGAAGCTGGTAAAGTATATTTCGCCTGCATTTATTTGATACAAATACAGTAAAAACAGTAATATTGTGAAAAATTATTACAATTTAAAATAACTGATTTCCATTTTATGTTAAGATATAATTTATACCTATGTTTCAAAACTGAATTTTCAGCATCATTACTCCAGTCTTCAGTGTCACATGATCCTTCAGATATTATTTTAATATGCTGATTTGCTGCTTTATTATCATTGTTGAAAAAAAAAGATAATGAAACCATTACATATTTATTTTACATTTTTTTAAATATTTTTTTTAGGTTTAAAAGAACAGCATTAACTTGAAATAGACTTTCTTTGTAGTCTTTAGACTTTTTTTTAAGTCTTTAAATTAAAAAAAAAAAAAAAAAAATCTTACTGACCCCAAACTTTTGAACAGTAGTGTATATCCATTAGAAAATGAAGGTATGAACCAAGAATGTGCCCTCACAGATGGCTAACATGAGGCCAGCTGGGACATGACGGGAAAGAAGGGATGGGGTCACTACATCGCCGACTCCCTTTACCGTGACACAAATGGGTGGAGAGGCCTTTCCTATAGATAAGCAGGAGTTCAGGTCTCTTAGCAGATGGTTTGGGCACAAGGCACAGAGATCATAGGCTAAATGACAAGAGCCTCTCTCCTGGCAATTAATCATCACCGCCTGAAGGTCGCGGCGAAGAAAGGTAGAACCGTTAAAGGGCCAGCATCGGCATTCTCTTACTCGAACGGCCAACGGTGAGACCCGAAATAGAATTGCCGGGGGTCAGAGGAGTCAAAACATACCATTTGTCAAAATTGGCTAGATAATTTTTCATCTGGAAATGAGAGCCTTCAAAAACTGCCAAACACAATGGCTACTTTAATCTTATCTCTTCAAGCCTTGGTCGCCCCTCTCGTTGGGCCGCTGTAGTCTCAGTACAGACTTCTCAAAGCAAATTCAACTTATTGGATCTTGACCCACAGAAGTATCCATAATGCATGAAAAGAGCGAGGAAACTTTCTAGGCATAACGAGACGAGTCAGATACATATGGGCCCGCTACAAACTCGAAGGTCATGTACACCCATCTTAAATATTCAGAAGGGGACATATGCATACTAAAATAGGCCACAAAGGGCCTCTTTCTCCATTTCTGTGCAATTTGGTGCATACAAATGCTGTGAAAAAGATTTTTTTCTTTTTAAAAGGGGCAACGGCGCCACTAAAATAGCTCAGACATCCTTACAACAAAAGTATTATTGTGGTATAATGGTTAGAGACAGGCGATGCTACACATGTAACAGCTGAAAGTTTATTTGTCCAAAATGTAGGAGTATACTAGCAAAAAAATTAAATAAATGAATAAATAAATAAATAAATATATATATACAGTAGGAACGAGTAATGCGATGTATGCGCAATCCCGCAACGAAATTCAGGATCTGATTAAACATAATTCTATTATACAGAGAATTGTGAAATAGATTTTCATGACTTTTCAAAAACTTTTTGAGTTTATTTATTTTTACAAAACTTTCTAGGCCTGGAAATTGCTGTTCAATGACTTTTCCAGGTTTTTTATGACCGTACGAACCCTAATCTGATGATCGGGTGCGGTTATCTAAATCAGACAAAAATACAGGTGCGGGCGGTTGGCGGGTGGATAATTTATTTGAAGCTGCGGATTCGGGTGACGTTTTAACTCATCCGCGCATCACTAACACACACACACTACTGGTCAAATGTTTGGACTAATTACAATTTTTTTTAATGTTTTTGAAAAAGGGTCTTATGCAAACTAAAGCTGCATTTATATGATGAAAAATAAAGTAAAAAAAAGCCATATAGTGAAATATTATTACAGTTTAAAATAACTGTTTAGTGTAAGTAAGTTTAGGGTAAGATTAAAAAAATAAATAAATAAAATAAAGAATAAGAATAAAATAAGAATCAAAAATACTTTTATTCAGCAAGGACACACAAAATGGATCAAAAGTGACAGCAAAAGGCATTTTAATGTTATAAAAGATTTCTATTTTAAATAAGTGCTGTTCTTTTGAAATTTCTATTCATCAAAGAATCCTGAAAAAAAAATGTATCATGGTTTGAACAAAAATATTAAGCAGAAAAAAACTGTTTGGTAATAATAAGAAATTTTTCTTGATCATAAAGTCAGCATATCAGAATGATTTTTGAAGGACACTAAAGACTGAAGTAATGGCTGCAGAAAAATAGAAACAGTTATTTTAAACTGTAATAATATTTAATAACAGTACTGTTTTTTAACTGTATTTTTGATTAAATAAATGCAGTCTTGGTGAGCATAAGAGTCGTCTTTCAAAAACATTAGAAAATATGAATTTTTCCAAACTTTTGACCTGTACTTTAGTAGTTTTTATTTTTCTCCCTCTATTTTTCTGGTACCTTCTTCGCAGTTCTCCCCTTTGTAGCCAGGATTACAGATGCAAGTTCCCACAATGCATGTGCCATGTCCGCTGCAGGTAATGTCGATGCACTGGTTGGTAGGAATGTCACATTCGGATCCTTTCCAACCGCTGTGACACATGCAGCGGCCTTTAAGGTACTGACCGTTCCCACTGCAAAGCACTGGACAGGACGCTGGAAAGAGTACACACAACATGTAAAAGGTCTGCCAAATGTAGCTTTAAAAAAAAAAAACACTGCTTGTGCTGCATGGTCTGCTGGACTCTTGTAGGAAGATGGCAGCTCATGTCTGTGTAAAAATCAATATGACCACTGCAGCAAAAGTTACAGTGGTAAAAGTGAGTGAGACCATATTGATCCAGATGTTTTGTGTATAAACAAGGGATTTCTGAAAAGTGAATGATCAAGAGTCTAGAATACACTAGAAAGAGCAAAAGAAAAATGGTTACCTTAATGCCTGCCAAAAAAAAAAAAAAAGCTACAGTTACTACATAACTATAATGTAAATTCTAATGCATACATTTTGAAATGTCCAAATGAATATTTTTTATTGAATTTTATTAAGTCCATTAATATTTATTAATCCACACACTTTTATACAAACACACATACACACAAATCGACATACAGTGACATGCGAAAGTTTGGGAACCCCTTGCAGAAACTGTGAAAATGTGAATAATTTGAACAAAATAAGAGAGATCATACAAAATGCATGTTATTTTTTTATTTAGTACTGTCCTGAGTAAGATATTTGACATAAAATATGTTTACATTTAGTCCACAAGACAAAAAAATTGCTGAAATTATTAAAATAACCCCATTCAAATGTTTGGGGACCCTTGGTTCTTAATACTGTGAGTGGTTACCTGGATGATCCACGACTGTTTTTTTGTTTTGTGATGGTTGATCATGAGTCCCTTGTTTGTTCTGAAAAGTTAAACTGAGCACTATTCTTCAGAAAAATCCTCCAGGTCCTGCAGATTCTTCAGTTTTCCTGCATCTTTTGCATATTTGAACCCTTTCCAGCAGTGACTGTATGATTTTGAGATCCATCTTTTCACACTGAGGACAATTGAAGGACTCAAACACAACTATTAAAAAAGGTTCAAACATTCACTGATGCTCCAGAAGGAAACACGATGCATCAAGAGCCGGGGGTTGAAAACTTTTTGCATTTGAAGATCAAGGTAAATTGCACTTAATTTGTCTTCCGGGAAACATGCACGTATCTTCTGTTGCTTCCGAAGGGCGGTACTAAATGGGAAAAAATTATATTTCAGCAAAATAACAAAAATTGGGACATCCACAGATTCTGCAAGGGGTTCCCAAACTTTCGCATTCCACTGTATTTATTACAATCACTTATTTTACTGTGACTAATACAGAGTTGAAAACAACAGTTATCATGGTTATAGTTTTTAAAGAAGGGAAAATGTTTGAGTGACAGAGAAAGATTGCAAGGATGAAGGACTGAAAGTAATAAAGAGAGAAAGGGAGGTTAATGGAGGAGCAGGTAAACAGAAATCTCACCCCTGCTGCAGTCGGGTCCTCTGAAGCCAGGAAAACAGTGGCAGTTTCCGGCCACACAATCTCCATTTCCAAAACAGTTACTAGGACAGTCATCGATAGCGTCTGCAAAACATCATCATAAAACAATGTTTGTCAGAAGGATGCACATTCATCAGTACTTCACTCGCTAGATATATTTTATATTTCCCTAAAGAACGTGGTGTAAAAAGCTCAATTTCCTGGTGTACTGTATATTCTGCTTCAATTTTTAAGGGGTCACATACCAAAAAAATGTTATTTTCCTTGATCATTCAAAATAAGAGTTCACTATAAAAAAAAAAAAACATACTGTAACTTTCATAACTGAAAACTATATCCTCAGGTCATTAATTGAAACTAAGCAGGAAAAACAGATCCAAAACAGAGCTGATATCATATAAGTAATATTAAATTACTTTAATTACATATGCTATTTACGTACACATATGCTATTTACGTACCTCACTGTATAATGCACCTTCTGTTTATACTTTCCTTGCACCCTATGTTGTATGTACAGTCATTAGCATTGAGCTGGTCTCTGCACCTCCTACCTCATAACTTGCACTATATGTCATAAAGCTTAATGTATATACACATAATCTATATTTATTTATATACTCTGTTATTTGCACTTCTGGTTAGATGCTAACTGCATTTCATTGGCTCTGTACCTGTACTCTGCACAGTGACAATAAAGTTGAATCTATCTATCTATCTATCTATCTATCTAATTTAAAGCATTGCATCACAACATGAATTGCTTACATGGAGGTCTTAAAGGTGAAGTGTGTCATTTTTTTCATGGTAAAAAAAGTAAAAAAGTAAACACTTTCAAAACACATTCTGACAGAAACTTTGCCTCAACCAATGTGGCAGCTTTGAGGCGGGGCTATACGTTTGACCAACCTTGAGCCACATTGGTTGAGCCAATAGCAGACAGGGGTGTGTTCAGGGAAACGTCAATATATTTGCAGTTTTACTTGATAACGCTAGTGGCACAAAAATGCACATGTCAACTTTAAATTCAACTCATATCATAAGAGCAAAAAAAAATAATAATAAAAAAATTATGTGTGCATGCTAGCCTAGCTAGTGGTCTTTTTTAAAACAAATCAAGTACAAGAAAATGTATACACTTTCCATAAATAAGATAAAATAAAGAGTGGCCCCTTAGCTAGCAGGTCTAAGGTGAAGTGGGACTCAAGTGGAGCCACTTGATGAATTTACTTCAGCCTAATGAGGAACTTAACAAGCCAACACGAGTGCACGACACATCCAGTGACACGGCTAATGAAAATTCCACATAACAACCTTCTTCAGTGAAGCGTGCTAATTTAAATGCAAGGAATGCCGACATGTCAATTACAAGATTTCTGATTTCAAGCAGGAGTATAAAAGGGATTTATTACAGATTGCGGATATATTAGACAGACTCCTGGAGTGAAGAAGTGGTGCTTGATTCTTGGTAAACACATCGCATATTCACACACTGACAGCACTCAAGAAGTATTTAGATATCTATCTTAAATAAGCAATCTAGCGGACTCACAAATTTAAGACTTGGCTTATGAATATTAATTAGTTTGTTCATAAATATGCATAAATGGTCTATATAATATATGGATGCAGTGATTAGGTCTGTAATAGAGTATGTACTGGAAGTCTAAACTTCAACAATTGCATTAGAATGTGCCAAGAATCTTTTTTTTATTTTTATTTTTTTTATCAATTTCAAGTTATTTTTCAACATAAAACTCATTATAGAGTGATTTGCAATCATTCTTGATGACCAATGAAAGCCCTCAAATGAACTTGTGACATTTTATTTGATAACTTCATTCCTACATCTGTCCCGGGATTCTGTAGCTCAGTGAATAAATACATGGATCAACTACCAAATGCTAAGTATGAATCACTTTCCGTGACTGATAACAACTGCAACGGAGGCAAACTTTAAAGCAGACAAATCTGTGCCAGATCATCACTTGTTATAACACACACAAAGAAAAAAAAATCCCTGCTTGAGAATTGGAACTGCTTCCTCTGTATTAGATATATAATTCCATAAAGTGGTGGAGACAAATTCGTCAATGGTGAAACTTTAAGGGGTCATATGATGCAATTTCAAGTTTTCCTTTCTCTTTGGAGTGTTACAAGCTGTTCGTGCATAGATAAGATCCCTAAAGTTGCAAAGACTAAAGTCTAAAACCCAAAGAGATATTCTTTATAAAAGTTAAGACTCGTCCACGCCCTCCTGAAACGCCTCGTTTAAACCCCCCCCCACATGTCTACGTCACTGTGTGGGAAGATTTGCATAACGCCGCCCAAATGTTCACGCAAAGAAAGAAGGTGTAACTTTGATTCTCCCTGTAGTATTGTTGCCGCCTTC